ACTTTTTGTGTAATGGTTAGTAAATGTCATCTAAGTCCTTTTATGTATAAAACTGCCAAATGCTCACCTGGTATCTAGATGCAGAAACAGATTGGAAACAGCTAAATTATAACCTTTACATACAGCTCTGTATTATTGTTTCTTCATACTGTGTCTGTATTTAATCTTTTTTTATGGAACTTGTTGCGCCTATTTATGAAATAATAAATATAGGTGTTTGTAAGTAAATTTGTTAGTATTTGAAAGAGGTTTCTTTGATGTTTTAACTTTTGCTGGAAAAAAAGTCACGCTTGGTGTGAATACTTTATTATTTAGTTTTTACGGTGACATGAATAAAGCCAAATCTGCTTCTTACTTAGTAGCAAATTAACCAATCCATATTTATGGCCTATCTTTTTTTACTAAATGAAAAGCTATTTAAAAACCTTCTTTCTTTATACAACAGAAAATTGTCCCATGGTTCTCTCAAGCTCCAAGACTAAACAGACATCAGCGCACCCTGTACCTAAGAAGGGCCGCTTCTCAGTGCTCAGCCGGTTTTGGTCAATTTGAAAACTCGCTCCCCCACTAAAAAGCATTTAAAGTTGATTTACCCAAAATCCCTCCAGCCACATTCTTCTCACAGCATCCAGAAAACATTTAAGAATTGAAAGAAATGAAAGGAAAGGGTAATAACTAGAATCAATCTGGAAAAGTGAGTGACTGAACAGCCAAAGAAACAGAGAAGGCATTCCAAATCTCAGACCTTGATAGAACGGGAAGGTCTTTCTGTTCTTCCTGCTGCCACACACTACTTCACTTCCCAAACTTCCCAAGTCCTCTGAGGTAATTCTAAGAGTACTAGAGATTTTCCAAGGAATCTGGCTGAGGACTGGTATGGCTTTTACATCATAAAAGAACCAATTTGTCCCTTCAAGTAGATTAATCTGGTTGGAAAGCAACAAGAGAATGATTGTTTCATGGAATGTATGAAACAAATTCAGCAATTTAAATACAAATACATACATTATGTAATCCACTCAGATTTCAAAAGACAAAAAGTATGCTTGCTTTGGAATGATTTTAGGCCTTGTACAACCTTGAATCACTTCAGCATGTAATAACTAATAAATAATGCAGATCCAATGTAATTACTAAAATGGCTGTAGCTGAGAACTCTACTATTCCTGTCTTGAAACTGTGTAAGAACTCATGTGATTAAGTTCACAGTTTATTGTGTGTCTGTTCAGTACCTTAGAAATATACCAGCACAACTAATTAACTAACGTCTTCTACTTATTCTATATGATAAAGTGAAGTTTTCTCCTGTACTAAAACCTAAAATGAGGAAGAAATCCCGGAGTAACTGAGAACAAGCAGCAAGTATAACAAGAGGTATATACAGGGGGATAGTTTACAGCTCTGCCCAAGCAGGTACATAACCAGGGTAGAAAGAGTGATGAACTTAGTACCGAATACAATAAAAATAGATGTATATAAAGAAAATGCGGCATCAATAAAAACTCTTACATGCATGACAATATTCTACTTAAGAGCTTTCAGATTCAAAAGGACATACCCAGTCAAATGAGAAATCCCAGTACATCTCAGGCCAGAAGTGATTGGGCATTAACCACTGTGGTGGCTTCGAAGGTACTTTCCCAAAACTCTGTGACGCCTCCCACCAACCTGAGACTCTAAAGCAGTGAGCTAAGAAATCTACCATTTTTAATTCTGTCATCTTTATGTCTGCCAAATTTAAGGAGGCCAGCATCTAGGCAAAGTAGATAACCTGTCACCCAGAGGAGTGGGGCTGATATAATCCAATGGACTGCTGGGTGGAAATCAAAATCATACTGAGAGATTTAGCAATTATACTGAACATAAAAGATCTTCACCAACATTTTAAAAATCAGAATTAAAGCTAAATTTAAAAAAAAAAGTGCCTGTGAGTTGGACTAGGTTGCATCAGTAACACAGTGAAAGGAAACACCCTAAGTCTGCTCCAAGTGAGAATGAGTGGACAGTGGGCAAATGAGTCAAATACTGACTCCAGTGGATCGAATTCTGTCTTAAAAGCAAGGAGTGGCCTTGTATGGGACATGAGCTGTCCATAGCACACCGTGATTAACAAAAGCAATGTACATTGGCTACAGTTCACTACAAAAATTTTTTTAACTTAGGAATGGAAAATTTAGAATTAGCGTATCCAACCGTCTCTTGTTTCAACAGAACTCTCACTCTTTGCAAAAGAGCTTCCCTACTCTTTGAAAAGTCATTGGCTTGAAGCATGTGACAAGGTTAGTTTTCACTCTAACCGGCATAAAAACTAACTTCACATGGTCCATGAGAAGATACAAGAACTAGAGACAAGTATGGTTTCAGCTACAACCTTCGATATCATTTCTAATGCAGTTAGAAGCACTTTACAAAGCACTAGGTGGAAAACACTTTGATACATTATTTGTTAGGCACACCACTTAGAATCCACCCTAGAAAGTTATGACCTTTAAAGAATAAATTACCAGATTCCAGTAAATTACAGTATCTTTGCTAGAGTAAAAATCTTATGTGACAATTTGTAATGAACAAGTTATCTACTAAAAGATGAAAATTTGTCAACACATAGATGATCTCATAATGTTTATTTATAAAATATTTATATATTTATAAACCAGGAAGTTGACCTATATTTTTTATTATAGTCTTCTCATTTTAAAATAAGAATAAAAATACCAAGAACTTCATAATTCTGTTGCTGCTGATTGAATACTGAAACAGTGACAAGGCAAAACTGATTTTGTAAGTTCACACCTAAGTATGTTAATTCATGCAAGCCACTCATGGTCAAGATCTCTTTGAGATGCCTTGAAACTGGGTAATTATCACATCTCTAATTGAAATATTATATCTCACAGTAGAAACACAATAAATGCAATGTTATAACAAGCAAGAAAGCATCATAAATTATCCTCAACATGAACTGTATGATGTTTCCTTTTAAATATAGAAGGAAATGAAATACTTGCTCGAAGGGAAGAACTAGGAAGAGAGAAAGAAGGAAGAAACCTAAGAAACCAAGAAACCTAAGGTCACAAAAAGTTTGAAAGAAACTTGAAATTAGTTGTGCCATATTATCATGGCAAACTTATTGAAGGACAGATATTTTGGGGGTTTTTATTTTTGTTTTTTTTTTTCCCTCTGGGACTGGGGATCTAGGTCAGTTGTTAGAATGCTTGCCTAGCACACATGCCCTGGGTTTGATCATCAGCCACTGCAAACTGGGCACAGTGGTACATGCCTGTCATCCCAATATTCCAGAGATCAGATGTTCAAGGTCATTCTCCAGCTACATAATGAGTTTGAGAAACCAGCTTCAGTACAGGGAGGGAGGGAGGGAAAAACAAAGGAAAGAAAGAAAAAAAGAACAAAAGGAAGGAAGGAGAAAGGGAAGGAGGAAGGGAGGGAGGGAGGGAGGGAGGGAGGGAAGAATTTTTCCATTCGTGACAAGGGTAAGATATAATCCCTACTGGCTTCAAATCAAGAAAATAAGCAAGAAAGTACAAGGTGCTAGACATGTAGGAGTTCTGTAAACAAGACAGAAATTTCAGGAGATAAATTTTATGGCATGCTAAATTCAAATATTGAATGAACAGGATACCAACTTCTTTTTCTAATCATCAGGTATGGGTACGAATTGATGCAGGGAGATTCATTTCCTGGATCCCACCTAAATGACACCTAAATGATAAGAAGGAGTGTTTCTACTTCTTTAAGATCTTCAAAGAAAAATTTTATGATTTCAGCTGACACCATTTCTCTGTGGGAAAACCTTTGCTAACAGACAAGACAATTGGTTAGAGACAGGGAACTGAAGGGAGGCTGGAACAGTCAGGGAGGAAGGCCCTTCAGCCCTGAGTCGGATGCACTTGGCCTCTGCTGTGTACAGAGAGCTACAACTGTACCCTCATTTCACACTTAGCCAAACATTTGTATCCAGCTGAAGCTGGTGTTCTCTGGTGGAAGAGCACACAAAGAGTGGTGGACTATATTTCAGCACCTTAGGCGCTGGAGCTAATTAAAGACATCCACCAGCATGAATCATTTCACATTCTATCAACAGCTTGCTAGCAAAGACTTGTGAAAGTGAAATTTCACTCACACCGACAGGAGGTCAGAAAGAGAAAAATAAAGTGACCAGAAAATAAAAAGAAAAGACAATTCTACAGAGAAAATGAAAATTCCATTCTAAAGAGAAACTGTGAACAAAACTACAGTATTTTAAAGTCTGGAGAGTCCCTGTTTGACAATTGTGTGTTTACAATAAGCCCAAACATAATTGGTGTGATGGGCTGTCAGGGAAAAGATTAATTTGGCAAAGATTAGTATTGACTTGCTGTTTATTAAGGCTTTTAAACAGCTGTATCTGGCAGCATTCCTGTAAGTGGCTGTCATAGCTGAAAAGCAGCCTCACACCCCGGTGCTCGCCAGCTGTTACTAAACAATCTTCCACCACTTTGAATGGCTTTCTCCAGGCCAAACAGCAAGAACAAACCATTGCCAAATGAGCCTTTTTCTCCTGTCACTTTTTTTCTTTGGTGGGGGTGAGGAGCAGCTCAGAGCTTAAATGTCAGCTCAGGGCTGATGGCTTAGCTGATAAAAGGAGCCGGAAGCCAGTAGGTGGTTTGGGTGCTAGATGAACATGCTCCCCACATAGAGAGTTAGACCCTGTTAGTCACCTCACACAGACAAGAAAGCTGCAG